AACGGGGGACTATGACAGACAATGTGTTGTATTATGGCATTGCTTGGCGTTTCTGGGCGTTTGTTGCATGGGCGACAGCTTTGCATGAGATGTAGCTTGATGGTCTTGTACGGGATACACGATGAAACTTTTATACAATATGAAGATGGAGATCCACTAACAAATGTCCATGAAGTGATGAGATGATTCATCCGGTCTAGGTGCCATCACTGTGTCACGCGTTACAGGCGAAATGGCTTGTCCGGCGTGCCCATTTCTATAATCCTGCCTTGATCCATGGCCACAACAAGATTAGAATCTAAAATCGTGCCAAGACGGTGCGCCACAACTATCTTTGTCCACCCACTGAACTCTTCCCGTAGCATCTCCTCCCCCGTACAAATTACTCGTCGCCTCATCCAGGAGTAATATCCCCCCTCCCTGCTGCTGCTTCACCAAAGCGGTCGCTATAGCCAGCGACTGCGGCTCTCCGCGAGATAACAAAGAGCCACTTGCATGGCGTCGAGGCCGGTCACCTTGAGGGGGTCGGCGAGTCCTACTCGTTTGAGCGCTGGCTTGACCAACACAGAACGTTTGTTCAAACACCCAAGAACCAAGGACTTTGCAATCCCCACAGCCAGGCCAATTTCCACAACGGTCTCTTTCTCCAACGACGGGATTGAGCACGAGCGTCAGCCACCACTGTACACAGTACGGTAAATAATACCAAAGTACTGCGCGGACACATCAAACACCTTGCGTCCTTGACAAAACCAAGTGGACAGGCAAAATAGCCCAATAGAAGGATTCCATTACAAGTCAGTCACATTGAAGTTGTGAAAGGAAAAATTGTCAAATTGCAAAATTATTCCCACAGAAATCGTGTTGACCCGAGTCCAAGGCTGTCTAAACCATAATCTAAGACCTTACCCAAATCCAGTCTCCTTTTCTGTGCGGTTTTTTGTTTGGATATGAAATTCCTCGTGATATTTTCATCATAATAGTGTGCTTTTCCGTGCCGTGGTTTGTTCGTGGCATCGGTGATGATATTTCTCGTGCTCCAGCAGGGGAAAAGGGTCATGTCAAAAACAACAAAAACAACCACCACCACCAAAAGAAAAAAAAAAGCAAGCAAAGGCGGCAAAACAAGACAGCTTAAATGTCCACACCGGCGGCAACAAGCTTGGCGACCAGCTCGGGATCTCCCCACTGAGCGGTAATGTCTGCCAGTGTCATTGGCAGGTTCGCAGTCCCAAGCTTGGTATCAACTAGTTGCTCGTCTAGCAGCGTCTTGGCCGCCGTCGCAGTTGGCTTGTGCCGCCCGTCTCGGTCGAGAAGCGCGAAGCACAAGAGGGCTTCGGCTAGCGGTGTGCGCCCAGCGTTGCTAACAACGTTGACGTTGGCGGACTTGTCCGGGTCATTCTCACAGAGCCAAGAGAGGATCTCGGCATCGTTGGTGGCGGCTGCGAGGTGCCAAATGTTCTGGCCGTCGTTGTTCCTGGCCGTAGTCGTGACCTTGTACTGCTTGACGAGGACTTCCAGGGTTGACAGGTGCTCGATAACCATTAGGGGCGTTCGCCCCTGCGAATCCACGGCGGTAAAATCAGCGTAGGCGAGGTAGAGCTCGTCCAGCACGACGTGGTTCATGCCACTGACGGCCAGGTGCAAAATAGTGCCTTCTTCATCGCCATCCTCGCGAGCAACAAGATTCGGATCGAAGCGTCTGTCCTGCACCAGCCGCTCAAGGTAGACGGGCCTGTCGCCGATGATGGCGTGGTCGTCAATTACGCACTGCCGCACCACGGACTCAAAGTCGCCGTCGCTGATAAACGGCAGCCTGACATTCTCCTCCGTGTCGAATTCCAGGCCTTGCAGGTGCATAAAGTTCCAAATAGCGCTGCAAACCTCGTCGCCCTCCCACGGCAAACTGTCACCAGCGTTGACCATGGCCTGGTCGAAGGCTGCAGTCACAAGCTTGGCCATCATGAGGGGGTTTGAGCCAGCCTTGTCTGCAAATATGGAGGAGCTAATCAGCATAAGGGTGAAGTCCTCTTGAAGGGGGATGGTTGTGTCTACGGCCATGGCGAAGATGTCAGGGTCTTCGAGGATAGTGGCCGCCACGAATGCGACGTGGGCCAGTCGAACCGGGCTCTCCATGTTTGGCATACAGATGCTGGCGTTTCCTGAAGCGCCCCTTGCCAATAATGCTTTGATGAGTGCTACATCCGCAGGCTCCATTTCAAGAATCAAGTAGCCCCAAGACGATGGCTCGCATCCAAATAGCAGCACACGAGGCCCGACCAGAGCGCAGTATAACGGGGTCCCGAAACGGCCCGTCGTATTGACCAGATTGGTGCTCTGGGGATTGGACAGGAGGTCTTTGGCAATCTCCGTGAGTCCCAATAAGGCAGAAAGATGAAGAGGCGTGACTTTGCCCAGGGATATATCATTCACCAGCGCGACCACGGACTGAGCTGTAGGCGCATCAAAGTCATAGACACAGGGCCACGAACATCTGGCGAACTCGACAGCCCACTGAATAAAGTTGTTGGTAGCCGGAATCGCAAAAAGCTGCTTCACAGAAGCCCTGATGGGCTCCCAGTTGGTCCTCGCGAACTTGATCCATCCTGTCACGGCACGTTGGTACTCTGGGTCGAACTCTCGACGGGCCCGAACCAAGCCACGCTCGGAAGCCCACTCGAGCATGGCACGATCATAGTGCCTAGAGTTCAGCACGTCCAGCCATTTCTCCAGAGTAGGAACAAGATTCTCCACGGTGGGGGTTCTCGAGGTTGAAGTCGGCATGGGACGTCCCCCTAGGAGGGTTTGGTGAAGGACGGACAGGTCGTAGGCCGCAAAGGTCGCGATTTGTGAAACCAGGTCTCGATAAAACCTCACATTCACCGTCATCGTGACCAATCCATCGTCTGGGGCCATGGCCGACTTGTCCGCAATGTCCTTGACCACATGTGCAATGCCGGCCAAGATGGCATAGTCGAATGGGCCGCTGATGACTCCTTGGTTTGGGCTCTGCAAGTTGAGGGACAGACAGAAAATGCAGTTCAAGAGGCCACACAGGAATTGCAGCTCTGAAAGTAGTGCTCCGAATCGTTCTCGACGGATTCCAGCGCTAGATATCCGGACAAGGCTCACTTTTGTATGCACAGAGGCGACTCCCTTCCAGGCGGCCTCGAGAGCGGCTTGAAGAGGGCCAGGCCCCGTGGCCAGAGGAGCCATGATGGGCTGCAACAAGGACTCCTCGCTGCTCAAAGTTGTCAAATTTTGTAGGCACTTGGGACAGAGGAGTATTGCATTGCAACTGGAAATGACCAACCCCCTCCCCCCTTCGATTTAGTTCGAATACGTGACGTGGCTATCGTGGTGAGTTTTCTGGCGGTGGTGATGAGGTTGTTTGTGGAGTTGACGAATTGTGATTACGGTACACCATGTTTGAAACTATGGTTCCTGGTAGCGATATTTGGGCTTTTACGATATTTCACGCCCAACTCAACGGTGTTCCCTGGTAAATCGTTAATATTCGCGATACTTAGGATATTGCAGGGTAGCGAATGATTCAGCCCACATATATCGCTATATAAAGCTGCATGTGGCCCTGTAAGCCCCTTATAAGCCAAGCCCCCCGTAGACCTCTGTAAGAACCCCCTGTACCGCTGGTCGTACTCGGCCCGGCCTCGGTTAAATGCTGGCTAAGCCAAGGCTAAATATGAAAGATGTGCTAACGCTTAAACACATATTTTAGTGGCAATTCTGTCAGTCACACTGTAAGGATAGTCACCTTTTTACGATGTGGCGTGGCCTCTCTAGCGTATGGTATCGTTATAGACATCAATTTGTTTACCGGATTAATTTTCAGTTCGTTAGTGTCAGGACAGGCTAGTACACAGTGTGAATAACATTCTGACACCCACCGTGGATCGTAACTTTGGACGCAGCCGCAAAGGCATGGGCCGCATGGCAACTTGAAGTCAGCATCTCATCGCCGAAAACTATCACGTTCAATGGCTCATTTCATATTCAATTTACTGTTTTCTCTAACCTATACACTGCCGCTTGTGAAAACCACAGTTGAGCATATTTTGTCCCCTGGCTACCGTGTGGCCGGGCTTGCTTCGCATTTTGTTCGAGATGAAATGCAAACATTCGCTTGATCAGTTCAGGAGCTAGCGGTATATTATCGACATTTTTTTTCAGTTTCCTTCTTCACACGACTATCTACTACGACGTGGCCAGTCAAAGTCGAATGTTACGGACTGGGCTGAGGATCGCGGTGGTCCAGATTCTTTGCGCACTCAAGTGATTCAACCTCCAACTAGCTCCCGCCACATGTGGAAGATACATTTTTTTACACTCCATATGTCTCTTATGAAAATGAAATGGATGCGAGCTGCGTAAGAAAGCGGCTGCAGAGTGAATCATGTGCCATGCTTTCTCTATGTGAGTTGGGCCGTCACCACCCTATGACTTTATGTCCCATCACTAGCTGACAATTCATTGCTTCGAGCGTTGGTCGGCCCAGAACTCTACCTACGCAAGTCTCGATAATTCAAGAAAATAAATGTACCACCGTCATTGATCCAGACATACCAGGCTCGTCAGCAAAGCGGAGTCTCCAGACCATCCAGTCCGGTGACACTAAAATTGTGCTGCCCAACGATCCATGTCGCCGTCGAACTTTTGTCAAGTTCAAACATCACATCCTCAGCGATGAGGCGACGTCAGATGGCCTGGGACGTCATGCAAAGCCAGCTCCCAGAGTACACCAATTGACCACAATACCTAGCTGAAATCAACTCAATTCACGTCTAGATTGCTAAGCTTCTGTAGCATTTAAGTTGGAATGCTTGCTCTTCCAGCTATACAAAAGCAGCACAATTCGAGGCAAGCCCAACCTTTTGGGCCTCGGCAGGTATATTAATTAGTACAGCCATGCATCTCGGCCTGCATTCGAAATACATGCAGGTATCAATCGCACAACATCGAGAATCATAGTGACAGAAAATTCATGGTTGATCGTAAATGACGTCGACATCCATCGTCTTCTTAATAGAATGTGGTGAATCGTTTGACTGCGTCCTGCAAGCTCCTCGACTCAGACGGTGAACAATCTCAACGTTTTCGCTTTCTTCAGGGGCTCGTTTGAAGATACTCCGCTCGCTTTGGTCGTCTGCCTCTTGAGGAAGCTCAGTTTCGACTGTAGTGCTCCAGTGCCCTCGTCTGGCTTTTGGAGCAAACATGTTGAAATTGGTAAAGGTGATGAGCTCGGTGCTGTCATTGGAGGGCTTTTCTCTCTTGGCCGAAGATCCGGGGAATATCTTCTTGAGCAATGGTCGCAAGGTTGGAACACAGGCGCCTAGCAGAATTACGCCATTCTCTACCCCAGCCCATCTACACGGCGGTCAGCAAGCGAATAGACGCAAATCATGTGCGGGCCAGGATGGCGACATACCCCAGGAGCGACGCAAGGGAATACGTAATGTCCTTGGCGTCAGTGTTTGCGACAAGATACTGGATCTTGATGATGGCAATGGAACCGGCACTGGAGAGGAGTTGGTTAGTTTGCATCTGCAATATCCCGGTGCACACTTGGGAGATGAACGACGGACCCCGGATTCTGCATCTATCTGTGGGATAAGGGACAACGTACAAAATGCCGAGACTCATAGCCACGGCAACTCCAAACTTTTCTCGCTTCTTCATCTGGAGATTCCAGAGGATTACCCAGGGCAGCAAAGCGAGGATAAAGTCGGTTGCGGCTGAATATGCTACAAGAATGGGAAGAGAAACATTAGCTGGAACAGCGAGCAAGAATGCAAGGCTCTGATATGAAAAAGCACACTTACAACCTATGAATAGGGACAGATCGTCAAATGCTTTCGCCGACCAACAGTTGGAAGGAATAGCGGGATTCCAAAGGTGACGAGGATCCTCGCAGCGAGCAAAGACACAAACGGAAATTAGCATGTGCAAAATGTTCATGGAAATAATCATGAACCAAAGCAACACCATGACCCAGTGCTGTGCTGCCACGCGGATCAGAGTCAAGGCGAAGCTGGTTTTCCCCAAGGCACACGACATGATGACCAGCGGCTGTGACACAAAGCTTAGCAGCGCAACATCCATCGCATCTTCTGGACTCTGGGCAACATATTCAAGATGCCGACCTAGGCCCTTATCTGCGGCTACGGTAAGGACGGCAGCATATGCAATCAAGAGAATCTTTCCGAGGGAACCGTCAGGAGATATGCCTTCAGGAGGGTCAAAAAGTTTGAATTGGTTGGAAAAAAAAGTCTTGACATACCACGGCCGCCACCATGAAAGAGTCATCAACTCCAAACACTCTCCTTAGACATATCCGCGTGTAGCAGCGCATGAGGACAAACAATGTCGGCAGCCCAGCAGCAACCCAAATAATTGCTTTCAGGCTTCCGGACTTGCTTTGTGCTAGATACTCGGCGTCGGCCGCTGGCATCTCTGCTCTTTGAGCCATCATCGACGCCATTATTCGGCATATACAGAGTCACGGTGTCAGTAGGTTGGCCAAGCCATCAAGGCCTTGTTTGAAGATGCCAACCCGACTCTATCTATAAGCGATATTGGGGCCCCATCTCTGGAAGCCATTCCTTCTCTTGGGTTACACAAGAAAATCTACCGTGGTACCTTGCTACATACATTCGACAAGGTAGTTATGTACTCGGTCCCTCGTAGCCAACCTCTGTCGTGCACCAAAGCCCTCTGCGCAGATCAACGGCCCATATTCTCTTGTCCCTGGTTACACAGTACCCCGAGGTGTAGCAGAGAGAAGCTCGGATGGGAGAAGACGGTGCCGACGTCCCGGACGGAAGAGTCCACCTGCAGGGTAGTATTGTATATCACTACGGAGTACTCTGTAGTCTCTGCTTCAGCAAGGGAGACTCGACCGTTCCAGGTGCTAAACATAATTGTACTCTGTATTGTTGGGGGGTGGGCTTCGGAGGCGAATTCGTCGACAGTGGCATGTCCACAGCATAGAAGACTGGTCATTTTTTCCACCCGTCGTCAAAGACATGCCGCACCCCAGAGACTGGAGTTGCACCCACGGCTAATCAGCAAGGACAAGGTTGCCTCGGAAGATTGACAGCGGGAGCAGGAGCCAATCTTGGGCCTTCACTCAATCCACCGCGTTGGATCTTGACTCTTGGCTCGGGCAGGGTTTGCGCTGAGCTGAGCGTTGGGAGCTGATTTCCATTCCATCACGATGCATGCAATATCCAATCCATGGCCCCGGATTGCAATGGGCGGGAAAACCCCCTACCCTGCCCACTTTCTGAGCAAGCACGGAAGTAGTTGCGAACCAAGTAAAATTGGAACTGGTCTTCGAGACTCGTTCATTGGTCTTCTGAGGAGGCGTCGTTGGTTTGCGAGGATCTTGACCACGGTCATGAGCGAGCCAGGGTGGACGGTAGCACCCCGTCCCGAATTTCGAATTACACGGGCAATACCGCGGGAGCAAGGACATGTTTGACCTGCCAAGGTCTTTTCATAACTCGAGCTATATCCCGAGATACGGGGAATATGTTGGTATATACTTGGCTATGGGCAAATTCAAGACTGGATGGAGCCGAGCGCACAATTACGCGCGCGCAGTCGCCCGCTGTCATTGTCTCTGCCCGAGATCCCAACCCGTGTCTAGGAGTAACTAGTAGTACCACGTATTACCAGATTTCCGAACGCCATCATGGCCATAAAGTGGAACTTGGAGACGGGAGTCAACAAGCCACAGAGTCGTGTTGGTACGTGGCGGCGCCGGCTGGGTCACCGGAATCAGCATCCGTGTACGGAGGAGGTGTACAATAGCTTCCGCTTGATCATGCTGCTGCAGCATGGTTGTATACGAGCTTAGTTGACGTGTGGCGTGTTGAACTACCGCGTACCATTCTAGCAACTCGGTGTGCTACAGCGCCCGGTGTTGAGGCAAAGTGCAACAAAACAATGTCTCACCAGGCTCCGATATAGAACAGCGTACGGGAGTGAGTACTCGTGTTCCATCACCCCCTCTTTGTCAACTCCATGGCCGTGGTGCCGTGATCTTTGGCAGCGGAAGGCACTCGAATGAGCCGGGCCTTAGGAGCCGGGTGTGCCTTGACCGCTCAACGCGGACGTCGCCGACGAGCTCTTCTCGGTGGCTCATACGTTCAACGGCTTAGGCGGCTCTAGTTCCCGTCGAATAGTCTGGCGGAACTGCACTTTTCACACACGCGACAGCATGGCTAGCAAGGGTTGTCCTTGGCCAAGTGAGCCGTCCCGTCCCCCCCACCACAATCCTTGTGTCAGAGCGTTGCTGATCAATTTGATAGTTATTGTTGAAGACCAAAAGTCTTTTATCCCGAGTGTGGGAACTGGAGCAAAATGGGACTACTGGTAGCAGTCTGTTGTTGCAGCCCCAGACAAGTACTCTATCCAGGCGATGAACCGGCAAAGCTGTAACGAGTGACGCGGCAGCAATTATTCCGTCTGATAAATCTTGCTCAATATAATTGCATTTGGCCTCTAATGATGCCACATAGGCTGGCGGAATGTCTACAGAGTACACCAGAGTGACTGCCCTCCTAAACGCTGTGTTGGTGTCAATACGGACCTCGGTGGCGCACTGAACTTGATGACTACGACACGGATTTTGAGAACGACGAGGCTGTGGCTCCATCTGTTGAGCAGGAGTTGATCCGAGGCATGCAGCTCGCTACGAGAGGTCGTAAGAATGTGAGAGAATGTCCAGCCGTGGACGAATACGCATGCTATAGCCGCACAACCTGTCTAGTCCACGACAAACATCCTCCATTATCAGTCTTGCTTTGGCAAAGATAACATTGCAGAGTGCTGGCACTGGAGTTTGCAAGCTGAGGTGTGCCTACTGCGGGTAATACTGTTCCAGGCGGGCTGGTTCCCGGCTATAGAAACAGCCCATCACTGCCATGTTTGAACTTGTTCATTGAGCTCCGTCTCTCAGCAAGCTTCCCTCAATCTACTAGGAAACCAGTCTACAGAATGGCTCATCATGGGCTCCGCAAGGCATGTCGCCTGTGATGTATATGTCGGTTCCAGTTACATGCCTCGCTGTTTGGTGGCAAGTGCTCAGCCGCCTCTCCTCTGTCTCCAGGCGTCCACGGCCAAAGCTGACTTTTCCTCCCGGCAGTTTTTCCGTACAAACCAGAACATGAACAAGGGTACCGGGACTGTTTGAGGCTCCTTTTAAAACGCCCCAGGAGTTCATTATCTGGTGTCATCCGGTCGGATAACCATTACAGCGAGCTGAGACGGCGCAAAGTAGCCTAACCTTGCACGGGGTCGACTCAAAATGCGGTCTAATAATGCGGCAACTCGATGTTGAACGGGCCCTGTAACAGGTCGTAGGGTGGACATCGACGATGGCTGCTCCGTGAAGCTTGATTGTTGCAAGGCAGGACGTCATTGCCAGATCGCGAATTCATCACTTGGTGATGCCGCAAGGAACCTCCCGGCGGTTAGCTGATCGCTCTGAGGAAAGCTAGAAGACGACACTTGCGGCAATCTTTGACCAGGACCACGATAGATTAGAGACGACAATTTGGCCATATGATCGGGGATACATACCCTCTCATGTGTGGCTTTGAAGGCTGTCATATTATATAAATAAGTCATGGAGGCGGGTGAAGAGCTGGGCGACAAGCCAGCCCAGTTCAGTGGCTCAATGTTTCTAAAGTCGGACCGACCCGCGGGGCACATGTCTTTTGTCTTTTATTGAAGTCAATACACAATTGACCGACGTCAGACAACAGGTGTGGCACACCAAAGGCAAGCTGACCTTTGTACTTGGACTTGTCAGCAAATCATCAGCTTGAGCCTGGCTCGGGGACGAGGATGAGGCAGCTGAAAGATTTCTGCTATTCTTGACTTGGGCCTGAAATGGTCAATATCTCCTCACAGGTCACGGGTCAGCAAAGGATGAGTCGCAATTTGTAGCCTTTCAAATGTATCCTTATCCCAAGTTGGCGCCCGAGGAATACAGGCCAGCACAGAGACAACTTCTACCAACTAGTTCCGCGGGTTTCGCAGGTGCTCTCTACCCACGCCGGAGACTTGTTTGATTCCAACACACGGGTTGCATTGGTGTTACGCGCCGCAATTAGTCAATCAGGATAACAGGGAGTGGGCAACCCCTCCAAAGTACGAGTAGGGAAAAGCGGTTATCCGGATTCACATGGCTGCAAGACCTGTCATATCTGGAAGTGGGTAAGTTATAATGCTGCTCTGTTCGGACGGTTTCTGTCTTTCCCCGCCGCCTTGTTGTTTGAGTCAACTTGATCAGACAGGAACCATGCAAGTCCAGGAACGCCTTGGCCCTGCTATTAAACGCGTAGCCTAAATCCAGAACGGAGAACCAGTGTGGCCTTGAACATTCATTCGCAATGTCGGTTCTGACCATCAGCGGGGCTCAACTCGTTTCTATACTCTTGCTGTGTGCCATTGTCAGATTGATCTGGCGGGCGTTCTTCTCGCCTCTTGGAACATTCCCGGGCCCATTCGCGTCCAAGTTCACCGACACATGGAGGGCTTTCCTCACGACCCGCGGCAACGTCGACGCGGTTACCCGAGGATGGCACCGGAAATGGGGCCAGGCCGTTCGCATTGGACCCAATACGATTAGTTTGAGTGATGCCGAGCTGATCAAAGAGGTGTATGCCGGCACAAGCAAGAACGAATGGAAAAAGGTGAGAAGCAAGAGAAAAGGAGAAACAAACCATGAGCTCACTATTGGCTAGAGCAAAATGTACAGTGTCAACGACGTGGTCGTCAACGGCCGCAGAATCTCCAACATCTTCAACACACGCGATGAGGAGTTTCACAGAACATATGCCCGGCCGATTGCCGGCTTTTGGACCTTGACCAAGATCCTCGAGCTTGAGCCGCTGATGGACGAAACCATTCAGAAGCTTGTCCATAAACTCGGCAACAAGTTCGCTGATGACCCTAACCCAGATACGGTTTGCATGATGGACGATTGGCTTACATACTGTGAGAGTAGTCCCAACCATGAGGGCGTGGGCGGTATTCTCAGTCACAAGACGCGCTGACTTGGCTCATCAGTTGCTTGGGATTTTGCCGCCAATGTTACCTTTGGGGAGCATTACGGCTTCATTGAGGAAGAGCGAGATGTCCAAGGCATGATTAAGGAATCGACAGACGGCCTCCACTACTTTGCGCCGGTAAGCAAGATGCTCCAGAAACTACAACTTTTGTCGAGTAGCATAGCTCATTGACCCCCCCCGGTAACTGGGTAGGTGTCTCAAGCGCCTTGGCTCGATAACTGGCTCGACAAGAATCCCATTTACCGCATCGGCCCAAAGCCATTAGTCAACGGTCTACTGTACACGGTTGCTCGCCTGGCTGACTACCAAAAGAAGCTTGCCGAGGGAACCCTCGCTCGAGCCAAGGTAGACACGTTTATAGACAAGTACCACGGGCTTAGAGACGCCTATCCCGATGTTGCGGACAGCAATCAACTAGTGAATTGGCTGATGCTAAACGTTTTGGCGGGAGGCGATTCGACGGCTGGAGCTCTGAGGCCTATCGTGTACCACCTTGGGAAATGTCCCGAGGCGCAAACGAGGCTGCAAAGCGAGCTGAAAACAGCCCGGCTCTGTCTGCCTGCCCGGTGGAAGGACATCCACAGGCTCCCCTACCTAGATGCCGTCATCCGGGAGGCGGCGCGGTTGAATCCAGCCGTGGGCTTGATGTTTGAGCGAGAGGCGCCCGCGGACGGTTTCCGACTTCCAGACGGCCGCTTCATCCCGGCTGGCACAAACGTCGGCATCAACCCGGCCGTTGTAACGAGGGATGTCGGCGTTTTCGGGGAACACGTCGACAGGTTTGTTCCGGAACGCTGGCTGCAAAGGTGCGACGAGGGCAGCGACCAGTTCATCCGGCGTCGGCGACGGATGGAGGAAGCTGGGGATCTCATGTTTGGCGCAGGCAGCCGCGCCTGCATGGGGAAGCATTTCGCCAAGATGGAAATGTACAAGCTCATGGCCACGTTGTACAGCATGTTCCATGTAAGTGTTGCCCGCGACATGTCTCGCCGTGCAGCTACACGAGCACACGCAGGCATGGTGGGCAAATTCTCATTGCCTCCCACTGCAACTGCAGAGATGAAGGGGACTTTGCTAACCGGGCCTGAAAACCAAAAGATCCGACTGCCCGATCCCAATCACGAGTGGAACTATTGCAATGCATGGTTCATGTACCACACGAATATCCCAATGCGAATCACGCGGCTCGGGCTCGACTAGAGAGAAGTATTTAGATGAACAATTCCGTCAAATGTATCTTGAATGGTCGCTTATCTCGACGAGAGTCCTTGGGTGACGTCAACCTTGTACAAGGTATCGCGGTCCACGGTCTGCGGCTTCGGGATGGGAGGATGTGTAACCTACCAGCGGCGGGACAGAGGAAAATAGACAAAAGTGGCGGGCATGTAATACCTCGACAGGGACGACACCCGAGACTGAACATACCAAATTCTCTTCGCCGACGTATTCTCATCTCCATGATGGATTTGTCGGGTTAACCCAGAGACCCATGGGCTTGTCTTGGTCACAAACCATTTCCCCACCCACAAACTCCATTGACAGCAATTCTATCACAAAGAGAAACTGATTCTTTAACAAACACGCCTATTATGGCTACTCCGTAAACTCCGTGCTCGAAACACCCTCGGCCAACGCTGACAGGTGGAGCAAGACGTGTCTGCGCCGAGGGAGCCGCCGGCGTCGGATCCACGGACGGCACAGGTTTGCCGTGAAAGGCGTTGAATCAGAGGCCTCATGATTCGTCGATCTTGCAAACCCCCTTGGTAGATCTAGTTGGGGTTCATGGGAACGCCGGCCACTTGTTGTCTCCGTCAAGTCTGAAGCCAGCACTAGAGAATAGGCAACGAGGTAATTGAGTTACCGCAAGCGTTTGCCGTTGCATTTTGACCTTTACACATGTATAAAAGGTGCAACCGCATCCTGGACGCGTAGAGAACCAAGCTTCTCTCTTCATGGTTCCATGTTTCAATCTCGTCATCGGGGCAGGATCCGCTTCCTCCGTGTGTGAGCGGAGCACTTGGGCTGCTGGTATGGCCGAGAGTGGCTGGATTCCCCTCCCAAGGCGATTACTGTAATTCCATCTACTCCATAGAAGCCTTGGGAACTCGTTGCCGCGAGGCTCTTGTCCCACGAAAGTTGCCGCGGCGTTCCTGGCGAGGCGTCATGGTGTCACTGCCGCAAATCCGCCGGCAACAAAACGGACATTTCAAGGTTGTCCCTCCCTTTTTATTTTTCGCTCTGCCTCTGTGGATCGAGGCTTTTCCGAGTGCGCAAAGTCGGGGCGATTTGTCATGACGCTGGTGTTGCAATTAAGCTTCTCCACCAAGACTTAACAATGGCGAATTTTTTGTCCTCTTCGCCACCGCTCAACGGCCTGTCCGCAACTGAAATCAAATCTGTCCGAGCGTACCGAGTTATCCGATGGCCCTTTCCAGCACAAAAAACCCATGTCGGGAACCTTTGCTCAAGTCGTGGACGCCGATCTCGTCCCGATGCCACTTATCGTCATCAACGTACGGCGTATTGTAGATATGGGGTCGTCGTTGGGGAAAGCCTGCCGCAGAGGCGGTTTCGTCATGCAGGATTTGCTTTTAATCTAGCCCACGCCCTGGATGTGTGTCTGACCGTCCATGTACGAGCCTTCCAGATCCCCGTGTTGTTGAGGTCTAACATCCGAGACGAGGGCTCTCCCCAAGACCCTGCCAGCCCAATTGAGAGGAGCGTATAGCCTCGTGCTGCTCAGATCCGGCTGACAAAATGTCCGTGCCGCCGGGCTTGATCAGCGCCGAGGGCGACCCCCGTCTGTCTGTCGCTGAAAAACCGCCCCAGGATGTCGTTCATCAACCCGTCAACGGCAACGACTCGACCATCACCTTTGAAGAGTTCATCTACTGGGCGGAGCGAACCCGTGCAGACGAAGCCCTCGCCAATAAAGCCTTGCTCGACAAGCGCGGGCCCCGGACTGTCAAGAACACGCTCCGGAGTCGCTTCTCCAAGGGCCACCAGACCGACCCGGCCACGTCGGTAGCCGATGTATACTCCAGCGACGAGGAAATCATCACGGGCGTTTCCGAAAGGGAGTGGAAGCAGGCCAGCCGGGCAATCCGCACGGCGTCCTGGGGATCCATCTTCTACCTCATCACAACAGACGTGCTGGGACCCTTTTCGACTCCCTGGGCCTTTGCGCAGATGGGCTACGGCCCTGGCGTGGCGCTGTACACTGTCTTTGGCGCAATGGCCGGGTAGTAAGTTTTGCTCTTCTTCTTCTTCTTCCCCTTCCGTCTTTGACGCATGTATCTGTATAATTTCAAGAGACAAGAGTCCTGATGCGGGTTGTCAGCTCGGGCTGGATTATATGGAAAGCCTTCCTCGGCCTCGATTCCGACCGCTACCCCATGCATACCTATGGCGACATATACTTTCGCATCTTTGGGCGCATTCCCCAAATCATGCTCAACATCATGCTTGGCCTGCAGCTGCTTTTGTCCGTGTGCAGTCTCATCCTGAGCAACGGGCAGTCGATTTCGCAGATCTCGCAGGGCAACAACGGCTCGAATGGCAACGGGATATGCTTTGTCGCGTGCCTCATCATCTTCATGGCGGCCGGGTTTGTTCTTGGCCAGATCAGGACGCTGCAGCGATTTGGATGGATTGCCAACTTTGCTGTCTGGATCAACGTTGCCATCATCTTCATCTGGTAAGCTGTCCCTTTGTCCTTTCCTTCACCGGCAGCATCCATCAGACTAAGACCACCCACCCGTCCATCCAGCGTCGGCGTTGTTGTCCATTATCCCCCCAACTTCAAGGCAACGCAAGCTTCGTTTGGCGACAACTTTGGTCCCGGTCCGATTCGCACCTTCGCAGGCACTCCTCCCGACGGCTTCGCCAGCGGCGGAACCGGCTTCGTGGCCTCTCTCAACGGTCTCAACCAGGCCGTGTATTCCTACGGCGGGTGCATGACCTTCACGGCCTTCCTCGCCGAGATGCGCCACCCCATGGACTTTTGGAAGGGTCTCTTGTGCGGCCAGGTCTTCATCTACAGCCTGTACATGTTCTTCGGCATCTTTGTCTACTCGTACCAGGGCCAGTTCGCCTTCAACCCCGTCATGCAGGGCCTCTCGTCGTACGGCTTCCAGACCGCGACCAACGTCATGAACCTCGTCACTGGCCTCATTGCCGCTGGCCTGTACGGCAACATTGGCCTCAAAGTCATTTACATCGAGGTCTTTGAGCGCCTGCTCAAGTTCCCGCCTCTGACGGTGCGCAAGGGAAAGATTATGTGGGCAGTCACCATTCCCGTGTACTGGTCCATCGCCTTCATCGTCGCCGCTGCCATCCCGCAGTTCTCGTATATTTCGGGGCTCATTGGCGCCTTTTTCGTGCTCAGCTTTAGCTATACCTTTCCTGCGCTGATGGCACTGGGTTTCTGGATTCACAAGGATGCCATGGTTCCCGAGCAGGAGAAGTTTGACCCCCGGACCCGAACGTACAATTATGTTGATACTGGACTTGCTCGGTGGAAGAGGGGGTTTCTGAAGAGGCCGTTTTTCAACCTGTTCAACTTGTTTTACATGCTGGGCGGGCTGACGACGACCGGCTTGGGCGTCTACTCGAGCATCGAGGGACTGATTGCGGCGTTTTCAGGGAGCAGCGTTGCGTCGAGTTTCGGTTGCAGGAGTCCGGTGTAAGATGCGGGAGCGAATGGAATTACACTATGCGTCGTAGAGTTGCGTTTCTATCGTACAAGAAATCATGACAAATAATGACGTCTTGGTACCTCTGATATATGTGTCTTCCTTGCGGTTTGCCAACCAGGTCCAGTTGGCTCTGCTGCATGATTCCGTTCCCCAGACCAAACACGAGGTAGAGGCTCTATTTCCTTCAACATCATACAATGAGAGCACCATCACAGCGGCAGCAATCGCTCGTGTCGGTGGCAGAAGAGCTGCAAGCTGAGCTCGTTCCGGTAACCTTTGTTCCCAGCTTCGTCGGCAAGCTCGCGCCGCTGGGGATTAACTCGGTTGTATCGATGACGGGCGGGAAAGTGTGCAGTGAGGGTTAGCCGGTCGGCGGAGGAGATGCCTGTTGGGTCGCGGCGCCAAGGGCGAAACCTAGTAGTAGTTGCTTATAGACATTAATTGTAAAAGAGTTGTCCAAATGATCAGGTTGTGTCAAGTGCTCGCCGCGGCTGTGGGTATGCAGTTGTGCGTACTCCGTACATAGGTAGCAGTGGATCGTGTGTGGCCAACTCCCACACGAGTAGATATCTAGAAGTCTGGCATTAAATACCATCTGTCGAACAAGACAAAAAAGCCCTGATACCGTTCACATGAGCTTTGTCGTCGACGGAAGCCCGAGTTGGATCATGCTCGTCCAGCTGGTTTGGCTCATTCACCAACCACAGATTGGTCAACGAGCAAGGGGGGCTTCTCTTTACCCCTTGAGGAAGGACTTGCAGCTTCATGAGCAAAAGCCATGCAGCACAGTGGCCAAACGTCACTGGTCGGATCCGCGCAGCGTAAAGTTGGAGGGTGAAGTTAAAAGAGCATTGTTGGGACGCAGATTTGATTGTTTTGTTTCACCATGTTGAAAACCGTCGTGGTAGTTTGGCAGTACGCAGCTGGACACCAGTTGTAATGTGTATGAATCCCCCACAGAACTGTCGCTGTGGTGGTATATTACCCTTCTTCTTGTTGGGAAATTAAAATGATTATTATGGATTCTGCCTACCGGATCTTGGCCGATATCATTCTCTCCAAACACATTTGTCTAATGCTGCGTCTAGTATACAACAGATCTGTCCACATTTACACCTTGAATCATTATCTCAACTCTACCCCGTCAACTGCCCCGAAAAGCTACATCCAAGCTTGTTAGTCAACTTTGACAATGGCAGGTGTATGATGGGATCTTTTAAAAACGCACTTTTTTCGTATGGCCATATATGCCAAACTGTACGGCAGTCATGCCGCCAACCATGACCAAACGGGCCTGCATGCCAGTGAAAGCACCGCGCCACCCAAGTCCAGTCGCAATACGGACCAGGCGACGAGTAACGCTCTCACCCGCCGGTCCCTTGTCCTTGTTGACCTTGCTGAGGATCGTGTCCGCCGGCTGGGAGACGACTGCGGCGGCAACACCAGCTACAAGCCCTGCGGCGAGGTTGATCCCGGTGGCGCCGGCTGTGGAAACTTTTGCCTTGTCTACGTAGGAATATGCCGTCTGTGTAGCTTTCTCGTAAACCAAGAAAGTTGCCATGGTGTAAGGGATCCTACATAGAAGATGAATTTACCACTATAATAGGCGGGGGACATCGGCCGCATGGTGGCCTGCTCGGGCTACACATACTGTTTAAGAAGGATAGGTCCAAGGCCAGAGTATAGACCTGCTAGGCCCTCCTCTCTCCCCAGTTTGACCAATGCATTCGCAAATTCGCCAGCATAGGTAGGCTGGGACACGAGCCGGATTCGGACAGATTCGAAGGGACAAAGAGCAATATCGCCAAAGAACTCGGCTGTTGCGGCCGATGCGAGGTACACCGCACTTCGGCTCTCAGCCGCATTCTCATATCCAAGGTAGTCGACAGCCCGGGCCTTGAAAAACTCGTATCCGCCAAACTTGAAGGCTCCTTGGAGGCCGTAGCCGGCGACAGTCGGTCCTAGCCCGGTTGAGAAGGCCCCCAGCCCTTCATGGGACGCGATTTGCCGCGCAGATCTAAATAGACTGCTGCTGTATCTGGTCGGTTCAAGCTGGATTCGCGTTTTCACACTTTGCACATGGAATATTTTAGCTCAAGGCCATGTGTCGGGAATATAAATAGACGCCAGTATCACGCTATTGTGTCTTCATACAAGTATGAGAGGAGGGGATCTGTTAATCTTTGCTTACACGTCGACAGGAGTAAGAACGGCATGAGTGAATGCACAGCAGAACGAGCCGGCCAGGGCGTATCGGGCGTACAAAGAGGCGCCCGCGATCTTTTCGGTTGCCTCGGCGCCAATAAACGGGTTTCCTTTGGTGGCTACGATCCCATCTCTGGTGGCGCGTATCGCTTCGCCAGGATTTGGGGCGTTCTCGGCGATGAGATGCAAACTATTAAACACCGTGAGCTTGTGTACTAGGCATTGGAGTAAAGGTCAAGATGAACTTTTACAGGGGTAATCAGAGCCACCACCACCTTCTTGAGCCTTGACTTTTCAGATCATTCCAGTTGTCCAGGAACGTCTTTCGCTGCTGTTCGCTCAGTCTAGTCCCTACCGCGTCGAGGACCTTCAAATGCTCTCTCTTTAGGTCGGCAAATCCAGTGTCCAGCTCCTTGTGCCACGGGTACAACACAAACACCTGGAAACCAAGCGCCGAGCTGGCCACGAGGAAGTTGGTCGCGGAAACAGCGCGCGTGAATATCATTGCGTGATCTGGGGCCCTTTTCGAGAGCTGAGTGATTTGAACGTCTGGCAATATATGTATTGTTCTATGCAGGAATAGATTTCTCCGCAGATTTCTGATGCGATGCCCGCTGTGCGGCCGGAAGCATCCAAGACTGGGGTACGGAGTTTCTCGATCAAGATGGACAAGATATAACTAGCGCATGGTACCTGCACGTTGCAGATGAAGGAGACGAAAACAGGCATAATAGAAGAACAAAGTCATGTACGGAGTGGGCGGTGTGGAAACTTTGACCAATGTGCCCCTGGATGAGAATCAGGCCATTTTTCGGAAGTTTCCGGATTGCAGCTTCCACGCCCGTAAATATTGATCTTAGTGCCCCAGGGGGAAAGAGCCTTCATAAGATACTAACCAGATCTGTGTGATGAGATGCTTCTAGAGAAAATGATGCCATAGCTGGCAGTAACTAAAGGGGCCGTGTCTCCAAGTTGACAATGTTGACCGTAACTGTGTGCATAGTCCGGCTTGGTCCAGCCTGACACTCCATGATGACGAAGTTTGATACAAAAGTAGTTAAAATAGGCCGTCCGGAAATAAACAGGAGATTGCAATACAAGTAACAGGTGCGAGGCCTGTCAACGCCACCAACGTGGATCGGAGCTAGCCAAGCAGTGTCTCGCCAATACAAATACAAGTACGTGTGGCCCCTGCAGCTTGCATATTCATGTTACGCTACCGCCATGGGGAATGGCGCTGCTCTGCTGTCGCAGATAAGAGGCACGGCTTCATAACAGCACCGTGACTGCACCAGAGAGGGTTGTGATGGCAAAGAAAAGAATAAACGTTGGCGGGCCGACCAAAAAGATTTTCATGGAATTCCTCCATGGTTCTAAACCGGAAACTATGGGGTTGTTTTTGATTGCTTGAGATGCTTCAATAATGCACCCCTACTCCTTTCTCGCCATCTTGATAGAATCCGCACCCGTCTCAACTACACGATACCCATCTGCGTCATCTAGACCACTGGCTGCTCTTTCATACGCCTCGTCTGATCTGTCGCACAGCGTGTCAAGATCCTCGTCACTTAGGATCTGATCACCCCCCGATGCCGCATACACCTGCCCATCCTTTAGTAACAAAGCCCGCAGCGTCTCTGCATCAAGTTGTTCCTTATTTTCCATCTTCTGACCCATAGTCTTGAATCCACCCTTTTTGATGACGAGCTTCTCCAGACGGCGCTTGGCGTCCGCTGACATGAGGAGAGACTCCTCAACCGTGTCCTTTGTAGCGAGGCGATAGACGATGACGGGCCGGGTTTGGCCGATGCGGTGGCATCTGTCTTGCGCTTGAAGATCTTGCTGCGGGTTGAAGTCGCTGTCGAAGAGGATGACAGTGTCGGCTGATGCCAGATTAATGCCCTGGCCTCCTGCTCGGGTTGATAATAGGAAGAGATTGTAGTCAGCGTCGTTGTTAAAGTCATGTATTTGTTGGCGGCGGCTGTCTTGCGGGACAGACCCGTCGATACGGCAGACATTCCAGCCTCGGAGCTCTCTACTATAATCTTCCAAGATATCCAGTTGGGTCTTGAACTGGGAGAATAGCAAGACTTTGTGACCCCTATCAAACAGCTTCTGCAGGAGTCGATCGAGAAGCAGCATTTTGCCCGAACAAGTAATAATGGATTCATCGACAGGAATATCGGTGGACGTAGCCCAGGGGTTGTAGAAGTTGTGAGGGCTGTTGCATACGAGTCTCAGTTGGGCCAGCGGGTTTCCCAGTTTCTTCTGCGCCAACTGTTTTTCTGGATAACGGAATTAGCTGGATTCTGAACATATTGGATACCAAAAACGTACTGGCAAGTTCTAATGTCTGGGCTCGCTCGACTTCCTCGGGTGATTGAAGTTCATCGACTTCCTCCTCCTCCTCCTCCTCCTCTACCTCAGCTGCGAGCTTGGCTTCGAATGCATCATCAGATAGGGCATCTTCCTCATCAGAGTCCGCCTCTGCATATGTCTTCCCTCTCCGTGATTTACCACGAGTGCTAACTGGAGTTGAGTTGCGGCTTGATCTCGCACTCTTGGTCTCTGACCTCACAGAGGTCGGCGGGCTTTTCCTCTTTGTGGCCTGCTTTGCTGGGGTCGCCGCAGTTTTCTGCGAGTCGCCCTTTAGGAGTTGGCTGGCTGAACGCTTCCCCATCATCAGGCTAAAAGCATTTGGAATCGAGGATGTTGGCTTGTTTTCCGCTTTCTTGCCACGAGGGCTTTGCCGTACGGGAAGAGAAACCGTACTTCCGTTTGAGCTTCCATTCTTCTTGGCCGCTGCCGCAGTACGACTACTAGATCGCGAGGATGCGCGAGTCGAGCTGCCCGATGCCATTGCGTTATTGACCTTTTCCGTGACTTTCTGTTCAAGATATTGCCTCGTATCAATCTCTTTGTTGGTAAAGACATTGTAGAGATCCGTCTGCTCCTTGGTCATGGGCGCGAACAAGACATATTCCCGCTTTCTAGGCAGGTACGCCGCAACATCCTGCTTGATTCTGCGCAGCAGTAGGGGTTGTAGAATAAGATGGATCTTTTTGACCAGGTCCTGCTTCATCTGATCGGCAATAAATTCCTCTGTGCCTCTCTCGTCCTCCAAATCCGAAAAGTCGAACCACGACTCGAATGCTTCCCAGTCAGTGAAGATATTTGGCAGCAAGAAATGTAGCAATGACCAGAGCTCTTTCAAGTTGTTCTGTAGAGGGGTTCCAGTAATTAGCAATCTTGTCGCGGATGTGAATTGTCGTAGTTGTTGAAAGAGCTTGGCTTCTGCATTCTTCATCCGATGTCCTTCATCCTGTAGTGAAATTAGAGATATGTAGACCTGTTGGCTAGGCTTCCTAACACGTACAATGATAATGAATTCCCACTGGATCCGGGACAGGTTATGCTGATCTCGCAAAACCATTTCATACGAAGTACAAACAACCGGAAATCTGTTCGTCGGTCTGCCACCTGTGAGGTTCTTCAGCATCTTGGTCCGGAAGATTTCTTCGCGTTGAGCTTGATTTCCATGGTACATGATGACGGGAATGGATGGAGTCCACTTGTGGAACTCGTCCATCCAATTCGACAGCGTGCTCAACGGCGCGACGATGAGATGAGGCCCGAGGTAGTTTTCCTGTTCACGGAGCAATGCGATTAAAGCAATGGTTTGGACAGTTTTGCCTGATCTAGTCAGCATCACACAGATATGCAAGTCAAGGGACAGCTACTAACCTAATCCCATCTCATCGGCAAGAATCCCGCTCATGCCTTGCGAGCAAATCTCAAACATCCAAGTCAGGCCTTCTAACTGGTAGTCGCGCATAGTTCCTCCTACCATGCAATTGGGTTGCTTCGCCATTTGCAGATTATGTTCGCCTAGGGTCTTACCATCGAGACTACTGCCAACTCGTCCAAGAACTTGCGTCTTCTTTGTGAGGATATCACTGAAGGCCGCGCTCTTCATCAGCAACTCGTCCAGCTCTCGAGCCTTGGCCTCGCGCTCTGATTTAGTCTCAGCCTTCTTTTTCTTCCTTGGTTTCCGAGCAGCAATTGCCCTTTTTTCCTCTGCCTTTCTGTTCTCGTCACGTGCTTCCCGCTCTTCCCTTAGGAGACTATTCTCAGTAATCTGATATAATACGTCAGATTTGGGCGATGCCACGGGAGGCGGCGAACTCGGAGGGCTCGTCATGGCTGGGGCTTCTGATGAGGCTGATTCAACGTCAGATAACGACAACATATCCATCATGAGGTGGCAATCTCAATGGCAATACGGTCGTGACCGCGAATTGATGTCCGCGGTAGACAGTATGACGAACGCAGTAGTATTTGTCTCGGTGGATGTTGCGGATTGAACTCGCACAGCTCAAGTCAGATCCCAAGTTGCCACTCGGGGACTAAGAGAGATTGAGCCGACAATTGATGCTGATAGTTTGTATCCTCAACACAAGATGAACCCAGATTTACCAAAATATGACCTCTGCCGTCGAATCCAAAAGTTGAGTCAAATTGAAGCGATTGTGAACCGAAATGAATTGGCGGGCGCATACGTACGGGCTGCGAAGGGCGCACGCGCCAGTCTCAATTAAAAGTCACGGCGCTCGTAACGCGAAGTCGCGCGCAGTCACGTGCTTTGCGTGCCGGACGGTTGCAGATGTACCGCGTTGGCGGAGACGCACGAGGCAGGAGCCATGCTACCCCCTGCCTCCAGGAACTGACTCAGTACGGAGTACGGAGTAACTAACTAGTGGCTAGTGCAAAATGGTGCAGCTGGGCGTTACCCCTCCGAGCTGACCAACGTCAAACCACCCCGCCGTTGGAGCATTGGAAAAAAAATTATCAGTCCAGATCTCTGCTTATGTGTCAAATAGATAACCCACACCGCAATTAAGAGAAGTCGCCTTCGTCCCGAACCGGCGACATTCTCTACCCACCGCAGCGAAACTGTTTCGCCTTCGAGCTCTTCGTCCTACCATCAGGGCCCTCTCGCCCGCTCCACTCACCCAATTGAGCAGAATGGCTTCCATCGCCAACCAGACATATACTCCCACAGAGGAGGCCGAAATCCAGCAGTGGCTCACCACGTCAGACCGCCTCAAGTCTGGTGAGGACAAGGCCACTATCCTCGAGACCCTCAACAGCCATCTCGCCAGCCGAACCACCCTCCTCGGCAGCAAGCCTAGCAAGGCAGACGTAGCAATCTATGAGACCCTCTCCCCCATCGTTGCCAAATGGTCTCCCGATGAGCGAACCGGCGAAAAGGGCCACCCTCACATTGTCCGGCACCTTGACTTTGTCCAGAACTCCGCTCTATTTGGCCTTGAGCTCAAAGAGGACCAGAAGATCCAGGTTAACCAGGACGACGTCCGCTACGTCAAGCCCCCCGTTGATGCCAAGGCTGAGAAGGAGCGCTTAAAGAAGGAGAAGGCTGCTGCTGCTGCCGCCGTTGATGGAAACAAGGAGGCCAGCTTGGTTGACCGTACCAAGGAAAAGGTCAAGGAGAAGGTTGACGAGGCCAAGGGTGCCGCCGCCGCCGCTGTTGGCGGTGGTGGTGATAAGCCCAAAAAGGAAAAGAAGGAAAAGGCCCCCAAGCAGCCTAAAGCTGCCCCTGCCGCCGCTCCCTTGTCACCCTGTCTGATCGATCTCCGTGTCGGTCACATCCTCAAGGCCATACAGCACCCCGACGCCGACTCTCTGTACGTCTCAACCATTGCCATGGGCGACCCGGCCGGCAACGAGGACTACACTGAATACGAGGGCCAAGTCTGCCGAACCGTCTGCTCTGGTCTAAACGGCCTTATCCCCCTCGAACAGATGCAGGGTCGCAAGGTTGTAGTTGTGTGTAACCTGAAGCCCGTCAAGATGCGAGGAATCAAGTCTTGCGCCATGGTTCTCGCTGCTTCTCCCAAGGTCAAGGAGGGCGAGGTTGACGAGGATAAGGGCCCGGTGGAACTGGTTGCCCCTCCGGAGGGCTCCAAGGCTGGCGACCGTGTGTTCTTTGAGGGTTGGGCGGGCGAGCCAGAGGGTGTGCTGAATCCCAAGAAGAAGATTTGGGAGACTTTCCAGCCTGGGTTTACTACCACTGATGACTTGGAGGTCGTGTTTGACGCTGCTGTTGTTGAGAAGCTTGGCAAGACTGGCATTGGCAAGTTGGTCACCGAGGCCGGCGGCGTCTGCACTGTTCAGACCCTGAAGGGCGCTGCTGTGCGGTAAACAGATGTCACATAGAACCATGCGGATGAATAAAAGCGCAATTAGAACTACGATGAAGCTCGACTCACGACTCACACCCCTGGGCATTCACTACATCTTTGTTCGCACAATGTGCAATCATATTTGAATTATTTGCGTTTCCCTTTTTTTTTTGCGAAAATACTCCGTCTAATATACTACAGTACATATACCGTCGCTATATGCAAGTATTTGAGAGGCGTGCACACCTGGCCGACCAAGCTAGGGCGATGTGAACAAAGTGCCTTCTTTTCCCAAGGCAATGCCGATAAAACGCCAATGAAAATGCTTCCCCGAGATAAATGTAAACGCTCAATAAAATACACCAAATGCGAACTCCAGTCGCTTTTTGTTTTATACAACACGAAACGTGCTTTATGAGAAGAAGTACTTGCTCTCTCGTAGACGCGTCACATCAAAGTCACCCTACATAATACGTTAGCTGTCTGTCAAGTGTAGGAGTTGGCATGGGTTGCTGCGTTCGCATTTACCTTCTTGGGGATGGCTGGGATAGTCAGAGGCAGCCACACCGGCACGGCAGTGCCACGTTTGGTAACACCTTTGGTCGGTTTCTTTGGCTTTTTCGCGCCTACAATCTGTGACTCAAAGTGACTGATCTTCATATTCTCCATCAGGCGCTTAGACAAGACTGCGGCGTCATGGGGATCGTCAGAGTCCGTTACACCGTCCTCATCAGCAGCCATGACCTCGCTCATCTCGATTGCTGTCATCCCTTCGTCGGTATCGACTTCCTCTTGCGGGATCTCACCCAAACCCATGTTCTTGGTGTCCTCGCTGATGCTGACGTCTATTTCTGCTCCAGCCATCTCCTCATACACGGATGCTGGTGTCACAATCTTCTTGGCAGCTTCTAGATCCCAAGGATTGCCCGAGAGTCTGAGTGAATTGCGCTTGTACTCCAAGACTAGCTCTTCCTTTGGGCAAAGTTTGCTGTTTTTTCTCAATTGTTTGATCTTCTTAGCCACGGGAGAAGAAGGGTCGAGATGAGCCAGGTAGAGTGAGCCCTTGTGTCTCGCCTCAAACTCGGCTGCGAGGCGACCGACAACGTCCTCTTCATGAATTTGAATAAAGGCCTCTCGCAGAATGCCATTCATGGTATCAATATCAGCAGCATGTGTCCAGAATGAATCATGGACCGCCGCGAAATCCAATCCCTGTTCGTGACACTGCAGGGCTGACAGCAGCATATGGCTTGCATCCAGGGAGTGGATAAAGTTGGGTGGGAAGCCTTGAAGTTGCTTTCTCTTGTTGACCGGGTCGGTTTGTTCATTGACTGGGTAGACCACTGATTGGAGACAGGTCCGGATCTCCCTGGCTGTGCTTTTTCGGTACGGTTGGACGACTGGCATGCGAAGGGGCGTTGTCCAAACAACAGAGGAGCGAAAATGTTTCATCAGATCATCTAATTCATCCTTTTTTGTGCTTCCTTCCTTCTCATAACTGTCTCGGATTTCCTTGAGCTGGGCTGGTGTCAGTGCTCGACAGACACGACCACCAATTTCACCCAGCCAGTACTGGATGTCATGGGCTCCACGAAACATTGTTGCTAGAGCGTTGAAGATGTGTCTGGCAATATATGTTGAAAGGACCAGGTTGGGTATACCACATTCCTTTCCCAGATCAGGGTACAAGGCATCAATCTGCTTGCAAACCTGCTTCTTAGCTCCAGCAAACGTGACACCGTAAACGTTGGTCATGACTGTCTGTTTCACAACCTTTCTTGTGATTTTGCCTTGAAGCACCAGTGCAAATTCATTCTTGGCCTCGGCATCTTTGTCGATGGCCTGCTTAACAAGATCTGCCACTGCAGAATAAACATCCGCCGGCCGCTCGCCAGGTTCGAGATTGACCTGCTTAGCACCCCACGTGTCACCGCCTAGGGCGGCATAATGCTGGAGACCGTTACAAGTGCCGTCTTGGTGAACAGGAAGCTGCGAGACAAACTTGGTTGGGTCTGGAAGCTCCAGCGCCGCCTTCAATTCGAAGCATGCAGCCAAGCACTGCCATGCATCTTCCGCCTTGAGCCACCATCGACTTCCGTTCAAAGGGTTCGTGGCGGAATCAATGATGTTGGAGATATTGTCATTAGTAAAGGCCTCTCGTTCGTCAAAGTTTGACTTGTCCAGCCCGTACAAATTAGCAAGGTGGATTTTCAGCCATCGAAGGCCCCTTTCTCCAAGTTCCTTTCCCCTGGCAAACTTGAGAATTGCTCTTGCGTGATCGGCGCCCATGTGATTGAGATACGTCGGCATCGGATATGCGCGTCCTCGGTAATCGATATTGTGCGGGAAGTACATGGTCTGATTCCTAAATGCTCGTGCAATCTCGAGTTGGAGGTTCATAAAGCAGCGCTGAGAGTGCATACCGGACCGTTCATTCTCGATTGCCTTGACAGCTTGCATCCAGCTTCTTCGCAGCAGTGGATCTGCAGAGGAATCTGGTTCCTCAGGAATATCAAATTCAGGGTTCAGCGGTGGCATATTGGCGATTTCTTCTCCACTGTTCCAGGCCTCCATCATAACATTGAGCACATTCTTGTTGATCCGCCAGGCAGTCTTGCCGAGCACGTCGAGACCTTTAAAAACTTGCGTCATATCGCCTGTCTTGATGGCAGCTTCGGTGTACAGCTTCTGCTCCACGTCACCCGACTTCACACGAACAAACGTCGTTCTGCTATCCAAGAACCCTCCCTCATTCAGTTGACGCCAGGGCTTGGGCTCGACAATCATTGGCAAATGCTTGGCAATGTAGTCACCGACGGGTTCCTTTTTCAGTTGCTGCACAAGATTCGAGTTGAAATGGAGCACACCCACTTTCTTGCCCCTACGAGGCTGCTGCATGTGTGTGAATGCCGGTTGTTTTTGACTAATGGGCTCCTTCGTCGTAGGATGCTCCATCGTAACCTTGACAAAAGCATTGTCGATGAGTGTTTTTAGCAGAAATGAGCCAACCTGTGCACGGATGGATATTGACCACGGCTCGCGAGTTGCATTTTCCAGTTCCTTGGCCGTCTCAGATACATCGTCTATGATTGTCGTAGTTTCGTTGTTAGGCTGACTGGTTGTCCGAGTTGCCGTGTCCGTTATAGTACCGGTAAAGTGAACTTGGCGATTGGGTTTGATGCCATTACCCAGCTTCTTGGCCGCGCGTTTGGCATCTGCTCTGGCCTTTTCCACCTTTTGCGTCTCAATATCCTCCTGGGCAAGCTTGGCAATGTTGGTTACAAGCCTGCTCACCACAACTCCTTTGTCCACGCCCTGCGCGGCTCCAAGGCTGAGAACAGAGAGAATTGTAAGAGCAGCCAGCCGGGAAGGGTCAGCCTGACTTATGAACGGTCCGTACAGGCACCTCTCGAGATCTTGATCGGACTTAGAAGTTTTATTCTCGGAAATCTTGATCAAAGCCAGCTCTTCCTTCAGTTTCTCCTCCAGACATTCAAGCCATCCCGCCATGCGACAAGAGAGAGATTCTTCAGCTGATGATGCGGAGACAGCAGTGCTGATCCCCAGCTGAGCAAGGTTCTTGTTAGCTTCTCTCCACCGGTTGATGGCGCATTCAATCGAATCTCGCTCTAGCTGTAACTGAATATCACGTCGATCGGCATTCGACATCTTCGAAACATCCACGTCCTGCAAGTCCCTAAGCAAGTGAAGTCCTTTCTTCAGTGACGCCAATCCCGTACCGCGCTGTGGGGTGGGTATAAGCTCCGCAGCCTCCCCGCGCGATACGGCATCGACGGCCTGGTCAACAGAGGCTTCAGTTGATCTTAATTCGGGGTATTCTTCAGTCGGCTCGGACATTTCCATCTCCTCGGCCGGCTCCACGGTGAAATTGTACTTTGGGCAAATCTCGGTGATGACTGCCAGATCTTGGTCGCTGAGGATATCATCCATGCTGAGAACCCGAAGACCCGATTCGCCGGGGGCCATACCCATGTACCTGTTGACCAGGCGGTCAAGTCTCGAGCCTCGCTCTGAGAGAAGGGACGCCTTGAGCATGCAAGCAATAGTCTCGGCAGTGTGTGGAAGGCCCTTGCTACGGATTTGCATCTCGTACCACTTGTGTAATTCTTCGGCCTGTCGTCGGTCGGGACTGTTACGCATCTGCTTGAGTGATGCCCGCAGGTACTGGTTGTTGAGTAAAATACGCTCTTCCCCGGAGAGCACTCCCATTGCATTGAGTCTCTTCAACACCAGAGCGGCCCTATCCAGTTTCCCAACACGAATACATGCATCAAATACAGGGAGCATGTCTTCTGTTTCGCCGGGGATGCCATATGTATTGATTTTAGTCGGTGTCCTGGGAGGCCCAGGTTCCGGAATCGTCAATGGGGCTGGAGAGTCGAATGACTGAATGTCATGGGAACGAAGCGAGGAAGGCTGAAATGGCGGCATTGAAGGGTTTGTGAGGTGCTCATATGGCATAACTTCAAACTTGAAGTCGTCAACAGCCGTCGCCAAGCTTCTTTCGTGGAAGTAATGGCCCAGGGAGGACTCCGGTCCACGTCTTCGCCATGGCCGACACTGGCGCGTAACTATTGATCTCTGGCATATTGTTGGTAACCGTATTAGCGAAATGGAAGGGAATCTCGTCGATGGCCCAGCTGATCTGATTACTGCAGCTCGGTGAGCAAGTGCGCTGCTCCTTGTTTGTTGACTGAGCATCTTGTTCTCGAGGTGGTGGTAGACAGCAGCGGATGCCAAAGGGGAAGTGTAGCCTCAACAGGCTGCTGAACTGCTGAGGCAAGTATTGAAATTAAAACATTTATAGAATATGAATGACAGCTGTTAAAGCCAACAACAAATACAATGGGTGAATGGAGAATGGGCTGGCACGAGTACCGAATGCGCGAAGAGAAAGAAAGGGCGAAAGTTTGAAGATCACGCAGCCACTGATAGGAGGCCAGCTCCATCCGAAAATTTCGAAAGTCAGTCCCCCAGATTGGCCACTTCGGGGATGCA